CTCCTGATTTGAATACCATGCAATCAGTGTCACTGCACTGGTTAAGCTATCTGTTGTTGTCATATATCGTCCTCCAGGGTGTCCACTGGGTAACTTTGTAGTTGAACTGGACATGCTACTCTCAGCCATTCAGGACTATGACACACCTCTTGTTGTCATGGGAGACAAGAATATCCACACAGACAAAGCCCAAGGAAGTGACTTTCTGTCACTTATGGCATCTTTCGACCTGAAGCAGGTCTCTACCCCTCCCACACACAAAGCGGGTAACACACTTGACTTGATTTTCTGTCGAAACTGCTCCACATCAAATCTGAGTGTCACTCCGCTTCATCTGTCAGACCACTATTTTATTCAGTTCACTGTCTCCTTACCGGAAGACACTCTAGTTGCTCCACAAATGGTCTCCTTCCATTTGTGGAAGGATACACCGACCCAGCTTTCTGATGAGGTCTTGGCTTCCATGCCTCCTCATAACAGATTCTCCTCACTCACAGCTGACAAGGCCACAGACACTCTTTTCCTCACTAGCCTCCTCTCTGAACAATCGCTGCCCTCTAACATGCAAACATGCTCCTGCCTCTCCCCCTTGTCAATGGCTCACTAGTGTCACCAGAAAGCAAAGGGCTGTGCTCAGAGCAGCAGAAAGAAAATGGCCTAAATCCAGAGAGCCCTCTGACCTCAGCGACTATCAAGGTCTACGAGCATCACTCTCCTCCAGTTTAAAAATTGCTAAGACCAAGTACTATCAGAACAAGATCTGCTGCACAACAGATGCTCGAAAAACATTCTCTGCTTTTAACTCACTCCTTCACCCACCTCCTCCACCACCCACCACTCTGCTCACTGCAGACGTGTTTGTCTCACGTTTTACAGACAAAGTCTCAGTAACCAGTTCTCTTAGTCTGACCAACTCACTGTTCAGCCGCCAGCTCATAGGGCCGTATTCTCCTTGTTCTCCCCTCTGACTGAGGAGGAAGTCTCCAAGCTATTGCTGGACTCTCATCCTACTACCTGTCCACTGGACCCAACACCATCCAACCTCTTACAAACCAATTACTCAGCACTTAACCCTGCAATAACACATATCATCAACTCCTTACTTGCTACGGGTGTGTTCCATGCTACATTTAATCAAGCTCAAGTCACTCCAATACTAAAAAAAACTACACTCAACCCAGCCCAAGTTGAAAACAACAGACCAGTTTCACTCCTGCCCTTCCTGTCTAAAATACTAATAAAACTGGGGTTCGGTAGAAACGTGCTCTGGGCAGGACTCTGATCTGGCGTGCTGAGTTTTGGCTAGATCAGAGCATGTGCAGCCTAGTTACGAGCCACTTCCTGTTTAGTGGCGAGCTACAGCAGCAAACATGTTGGCCGTGGCGGAAACGGGCTCCAGCTGAGACTGGGAGCAAGCACGTCTCATTTTATGGTGTTTTGGCCAAATTCCGGGGGTTGCCATTTCCACACCGTCAAACTTTTGCAGAGCGCTTTAACAACTTTTTATTAAGTTATTTGTGTTGCCTTTGTGCCTTTTTTCGATAGTGCAGTGAGAGCGAGAAAGGAAAGTGGGGGGAGAAGAATGGGGGGAGGACGTGTGGAAAAGGGCCATGAGTGGGATTCGAATTCATGACCTCCACATCGGGACTGTAGCCCTGTACATGGGACGCCAGCTCAATCAGGTGAGCTATAGCGATGCCCTCGTTTTAATAACTTTTAATCACCACCTCCTGTAGTTTGAGTGTGTGTGTGGTGATTTTGGTGAGTTTTGGCGCATGTTTAGGCCCTCAAAATCGCATTTGTTTGTGCTGAAAAATAATAATAAACCCCATCTCACTCATGCTACTCTGAGAACCAGGGTTACGCAAGTAACCTATAGTTTCCATTCTTAGCATTCGTTTTGATGTCTCACTATGGGACATGGAAACTCCCGTATTGCCAGACATGCTTATCTTAATCAACCACCAGCACTCAAGTAACAGCCCCCTGCCCTAAGTGGGCCCAGCACTCAGTACTGCATGAGCCAGGCTCAGAGCAGAGACGTCCAGCTTATAAAAGCGGACAAAAGTGAGAGGTGAAGACTAACTTGCTGCTGCACAGATCTCTTGAATCGAGACCCCTTTACACAGGGCCCAGGATGCAGCCAGGCCACATGCAGAATGAGCCCGCAGGCCTGCCAGGGCCTGCACGCCCTGAGATGTGTAGGCCCGGGCAATTGCTCCCAATTGCTCCAGTGGGAGAGCCGCTGCTTTGTGATGGGCCTGCCCCTATAGGGGCTAGCCCAGGACACAAAGAGCTGGTCACTCCTCTGAAACCCCCTCGTCCTGTCCATATAAATCCGCAAGGCACGGACTGGACACAGCATGTGCAACAGCTGTTCTTCAGAAGAAGACAATGGCGGTGGAGAAAATGCTGTAAGACCAATGGGAGAGCATGAACCAACCACCTTGGGCACAAAAGCAAGGTGGGGCTTCAATGACACCAATATGCGTCTTTAGGTCGACTGATGTGAACCAGTCATTCTGACGCAACATATGAAGCAGGGATCCATGCATGAGCATCCTGAACTTGTATGTTCTGAGGTATCTGTTCAGAGCCTGGAGATCCAGGATTGGGCGAATCCCAGTCCTTCCTCGTTTGGGGACCAAAAAATACCTGGAGTCAAAGCTGCTCTGACACTGTTCAGGAGGCACTATGAAATTGCTCTCTTTGTCTAAAGTGAGTGAATCCTCCTGAAGAACACGAGCTGTGCACCTGAGAATGCAGTACACCAGAGAAACGAGGGGGAACAGCGGCAAACTGAAGCCTGTAACCCCATGATATCGTTCTCAGAAACCAGGCTGAGCTTGTGGGGTCCTCCAGTGGCAGGATATGGTTGTGACCTTCGGGCTTCACTGTGCTGGGTGTTAGTGTAACAACAGACTGGATGCCCCTCAGGCTACATCCCTGCTCCGGACCTGGAACCGGCACCAAACTGCTTATTGCGTTCTTGTTTGTTAATCTCGACAGCGCCCTTGACTAGAGGTCTGGATGCAACAGTGAAACAAGAACAATGGTGTGTGCTTGTGTGACCTGGCTGAGAGGCAGAACCTGCTGTCCTTGCAACGAAGTCTCTTCCCTCCTCCACTGGGATGTGTTGTTGCTGTACCAGCAGTGCGCGCAGCGGGGGGGTGGGGTGGGGGGGGGAACTCGTGGGCTCTGCAGGCCCAGAGTAGCAGTAGAGTTTGAAGAGCATGGGCATTCATCTTGATTAGCTGGGGGCTAAACAAGATGTGTCATGAATTAGCTGGCGTGCTAATTCAGCAAAATGGTGTTCGCTGGTGTGCTAAACTGTGTAAAAAATGACTTCCCTTGGTGTGGTCGGGCGGTCAACTCTCCAGGTTATGGTGAAGCTGGAGGGACGCAGGTATGACAGCTAGCGTTCTGCGATGGAGCAGAGTTAGCTCCAGTCTATGAACAGTTAAGCTAGCTAGTGCTTACAAAATTGAGATATGCTACACGAAGCAAGAAGAGTTGTTTGAGTGATGCTGCGTGGTAGTGCAGGCTACTTAAGGGTAGGTGGCTCCACCAGATGCAGGCGTCGCGATCACCAGCCAATCAGGTTTGGCATAATGACTAATCACTTTATTGTATATAATGCTTTGTGTATATAGTACTTTGTTTAAATGATTTTTATTTCTAGTATTCTTATTTTTATTCTTATTTGCACTGCTGCTATTGTCGTGTTCTTCCACACAAGTTTCGTTGTACTTCTGCACAATGACAATAAAGTCTCTTTATCTTTATCTTTATCTTTAAATGCTTCTGAGGCATATGCAGGGAGCATATTCCATAGTGAGACATCAAAACGAATCCTAAGAATGAGAACACCAATGTAAGGGAGTATTTTTTGTAATTATTTATCATATTGTCAGTAAAATGGTCAATAAAATGTCCAGGACCACAAAACATTAAGTTTAAAGTTATGCAATGCCAAGAATAAGCAAGAAATCCTCACAATTAACATCCTTGATTTTTTTTCTTATGGTTGGTTATTACGGTTGAATGGTTAACCAATCAATCAAACTAATCAACTGTTGAAAATGACTTTTCTTGGGGGCAGTGGTGGCTCAACAGTTAGGGCTCTTGTTACTGATTAGCAGGTCAAGGGTACAAGGCCACCGAGCTATCTCTGTTGGATGCCTGAGCAAGGCCCTTGATGCTATCTGCTTGGGAAACATATCTTGGCTAACCTCACACTCTACTCTAGGTTCCTGGAAAAATGATTTGCTAATGTATATGTTGAATAAAGGCTCTGGTTGACGAATCTAATTACAATCTAATTGGTGCATCTCTCTGGTATGCAATGTGGGTGGTTCTGTGTTGCCTTCAGGGGCACTGTCACCTTCCCTAAAATCAGAAATGAGCATTTTGTGTTATTAGTGTATCTCATCCTATTACAAAACTGGACTGAATTCTGTTTTTAGCAGAACAAAAACATAAAAGTACAATAAAATGGTTGCTATCTATTAATCGTTACATTATTGTAACTTTGACGTCTTTATATGGAACACAGTAACAGTTCTCGTCTTCACCCTGCAACGTTTTGTTGTTCATGTTGTGTGCACATTGTTTGATGTGACCTCTTGTCCTAATTACTGAGCAGTCAGCGCACAGAAGAAACATCAAAGATGGAAGATGTAAAACAGCAGGATGTCAGAGGTCAGAAACACACTGGAAGCATCGGACACATGAGTTGACTGAGTCATAATGCACTGCAGAAACAACAAAGCTGCTAAAAATGTGCTTAAAGATACGTTTAATGCACCAGAAGACACAAACCTTGATTGTATAATGATATAAACTGAGATAATGTGAGGCCGTATTAAATGTATTTTGTTGCAGGAGGACACCTGCGCAGTCAAGCACCGTGTGCACTGCAGGGTGTTAGTGATGTCAAAACAGAGAGCCAGTCAGCAGAAAGGGGTGGTGCTGAGCTGCTGCTGTGTCAGAGGACTTACAGGTATGGAGCGGCTCAGGTAGCGTCCTGAGGGGCCTTTCATTGCGCCGTAGGGCCCAGGGCCCCTGTAGGGGCTGAAGTCCTGAGGCCCTGTCCGAATGAAGTTTTTCCCTGCGGTGGGCATCACAGAGCCACCAAATGGACCGCTGTTGTTGTTGACCTCGTGCTGCACATTGCGAGGACTGTTACCATAGTGGGACAAAGACAGTTGGGCCAGAGAGGAGGGGGAGGAGCTCAGAGACACAGAGGAGGAAGGGGAGGAGGGTGGAAGAGAGGAGTATGGAGTATTCCTGTCCTCTTCGATGTCGCCAGCATACAGATCGCTGAGAGAGCTGGCCAACCGAGAGCTGAGGGCTGAGCTGAGGTCAGCAGTGGGTAGGGGCACATATGACACACACGACACACATGAGCAACATGAATTGTCAACCACCTGCAGAATCAGAACAGTTGATCCTGGACCAGAACACACTTATCTGTATTCTGCCCCACAAAGTGTAAATGCAGCAACTACATATTGATTTAAGACTGTATTTAAGATCTGACCATGTGATGCCACGTCATGATAATGAATTATTTTTGGGAAGAAAAACAAAAGACTTAAAAATAGACAAAAAATAAGAACAATCTGACTAGTGAGTGAGTGTAGGTGAGTGGCAAAGCGATTGTTCAGGCTAATTTATCCACTTTTTCCTGTTTCCTGTATTTAAAAAACCAGCTGATGCTCTGTCTTTTTAGTCAGTGTTTTCTACATCAAACAAATGAAGCAACAGCTAAATCTAGATCTACTTGTGTTAAGTTGTTTTGCATTCATTTTAAAACCTGACTGAGGACACTGCTGAGGTTTAAACTGGACCAGATTGGGTTTACATCAGGTGAATTGGATTTCAACTCAGATCAGGTCATCTTAATTCTGAATCAGTGTAAACATAGCCCAAGCCCAATTCGCCTGCGATGAACAGGACCTGAGGGCTGTACTACAAAGCAAGTTTGACATAGACAGGCTTTCTTTGTGTAAGCTGGCTCGACAAAAACTAAAAGCCCAGCCAGAGATTACAGGTATCATGAAGGTGGTTATCAATTTTCTTTGTCAACTCAGACTTTCTGTCTCAGACTCTGTTCACATAAAAGGAGGCGGACTAAAGACTAAAGTAATCGATTGTGTGCAGCTGCTTCAGTCAACACGTGGTTTTAATGGAGAACAATGAGGAATATATTTTTTAAAAATGACAGTAAATAGCGCCACTACTGCAAATGGTGCAAGACAGAAATGCTGGTAGAAAACTGTTGAACGTGTTATATATAATATTTTACTGATGCAGCCGCTTATTTCCATCTGACAGCTGCACGTTAAAGTTCAACATTAAACTTAATATATTTAAACATGATCTTGTATTGAAGTGCATTTAGGTCTGACACTGTCCCATAATGCAGGAAATCCCTTTAATTTGTAGCCAAATAAATGTTATTGATTGAATATTCTCTGTAATAAATACCAGTAGAAACACATTTAAAATCATATATAAAACATATTTATGTGATTTCTGCATCACCAACTAAATACATGTTGGGTTCCCATGGCAACGCAATATTTACAGTATGTGATACTATAACTACAGGGCCTCATTCAGTGATATGAGTAACGCACAACTCAGCATGTTCGCAGATAAAACACATTCCCTCAGCTGAGAATTTGTATTGCTCATAAATAATAGTCAGGAAACAATCTAGTTAAAGGGAGATGCTCTTTCCAGCTGATTTAAATCCGAAACTCTAAACATAACCTGCTCCCGACCAGGTTAGCTCCACAGCACCAGTTGTCATGGAGATCTAGCCAGGTAAAAAGAGAGCTACCTTTTTGACACTGAAAACTCTGACTTTAAGCTCAACATACCTCGCTAACCTGCTAATCTCGCTTTGTAGTACAGCCCTCAGGTGAATTACAGAGGAGATGAATCTGCCATGTCCATATTTTGTAAAGTAAAACTTCCACCGCAAATGACCTACCATATTTCCCCAAACATAGAATTCCTGTGATATTAGTTCCATGCAAACCTGGTTCAAACTTAAAATCTGTTTTAAAATAGGTTTGAACCAGTTTAAACTCAGATCAGATGAGCCTCAATCAGCCATGTTATACTCAGTACAAAAACAGAGGCTAAGAATCATCTGATTATGGACATAAATACTGCTTACCGTGTTGTGACACTAACAGGCTGTGTATTCGTACTAACAGGTACTACAAGTCCTTTATTGCACATTTAGAGTCTGGTCAACTTCTTATATTTAGTTTTTTATTTTAAAGCTTGTACCTTTGTGCACTACCTACAAGTAGTACAAGCTGCTTGACGGTATTACAGTTTGTGTATTACTACTAACAGGTACAAGAGGCCGTGTATTATTTCAAAAAGGTACTACAGATTTGTCTACTAGTACTAAAAGGCACAACAGGTTGTGTATTGATACTACAAACAGTTTAGACATTAATCTGAGATGACACACTGAGAAGAGGATGCAATGATGAAATTGAAGATGAGAAAGAGATGAACAACATAAAATGATGATGAAGACGAGCTGATTAAGAGGAGGTGGAAGTGATGAACCGCTGAAGGAGGTGATGAAGGGAAGAAGGTGATGAAGACAAAGAGGATGTAAATAGGGTGTGAACAAGGAGATAAAGAGCATCACGTGAAGAATAGGATCAGGTGATGAAGATGAGATGGAGGTAGTGAAGGAAGTCGGTGGTATCACTGACCTCCTCATGTTTGAGGCTGATGATGATGGACTCCTTCCGATCCTCTTAGCTGCAGCAGAGGCAGAGGATGCTGGGAATTTGGATGACTTAAGAGGGGATATGTGGCCCTGACCGACCCCCATCGACAATCTGGATGCAGACACGAAAACCACGGTCAAAACATGTATGGATTACTGTTTGTATCCGTCTGATGAGGATAGTGTCTCAAGTATTATTGGGTAAAATCCTACCTGAGTGGCTGTGACATTGATCTGCTGTGCATCTTCATCTCCTCCACTCTGAAAGAGAACATGTGCATCATCAGTCTACACCCTCATCTCCACCTGTGAGGCGGAGCTGACATCTCAGGGACTGCTGAAGGTACCATTTCAGGAATGTAAAGAAACAATGGCGTCTGAAGATACTTAGTGTTTGTGCTTTTAAATTCATTGTAAATTCATAGACGCCTTGCATGGCAGCTCTGTCGTCGTTGGTGTATGAATGTGTGTGTGAATGGGTGAATGAGAAAACATTGTAAAGCACTTTGAGAACCGCTAAGGTGGAAAGGTGCTATATGAGTGCAGACCATTTACCATTGTTTTTACCTTTGTCTTTCCCCTTTGATTCCATCTTAGCTAGATATCTGGATAACTTTATCACATCTCAGCTAGGTGTGTGGATACATCAGCTTGATGTTGTTTTCTTCACATCTGTCTTTGGAAATATACTTTAAATCTAAATGAGACTTAAATAATGGCAAATGAAAATAGCTACAATCTGACAGTGGGAAAATCCGAAAACATTTTCAAAGTGAAGGTGCAATAAAAAGGAAAACGTGGAACATCTATACCTACACCCTTATTATATAAAGACCAGCAATGGGGTGACAGGAAAAAAATGTAAATCGCCAACTATTTAGGGCGATGATCATAAATGTATGAGAGTGATCAATAGGCTTTTTTCTATATCTTTCTACATTGCTGTAAACTGAATGAGAACTGAACCAGAAACAGTTCTGGGTGTGTGCAGCTAACACATCCAGAACTGTTTCTGGTTCAGTTCTCATTCAGTCAGTTCTGTTCCATTTCTGATTCTTGTACCTCAGGGCTCCGGTGGTGGTGGGGCGAGGGGGACGTCGGCTCTTCAAGGCTCTCAGTTTGTCTCCCTGAGTCAGAGCTGGCCCGCTGTCTGTTCGTTCACTCTGGAGGATAAATCAAAGGCACAGTGAGATGACTGCCAAGTTAAAGTTCACACAGACTAAACTCATGAAAAAAAACAACTATATATACACAGCAAATGGTGACCAATCTGTCGAGTTTGTGTGATTCTACCAACAAAAGAAAACTGTCAACAGAAAAAAGTCCAAAATTACTTACAAAAAAATTACTCTTAACTAGGGGTGTAACAATACACGTATTCGTACCGAACCGTTTGGTGCAGGCCCTTTTGGTTCTGTCCAAACGTGTACTGGCGTACGAACAATTTTAAGACTATTAAGAATGGCCAATGTACAGAATTGTTTCAGTTGCAAAACTTTAAATCAGTTGTGCTGGACCTTCTCTGGCTCACAGTTGTGCAGTATTGTAGAGCTAAAAACAAGGAGGACTTTCCAGTAGATTAAAGGATGTAACAGACTGTTTATTCTCCTGTCGGCGCTTCCTTATAAACCCGGTCTGTATGGCTAGCGAATGGGATGGCTAATGCTAACAACAACAACAACAACAACAAGCCAGAGCTGGAAGACGCTCCGGTGTCATTAAAATCACCCGTTTAGAATCACTTCGGTCTCCTGGTGAAGTACGAAAAAGGAGAAAAACAAGCGACAAGACAAAAGCCGTATGTTCACACTGTGAAGCGGTCCTCAACTATGCATCCGGCAACATGTCAGACTTACACACTCATTTGAAAAGGCAGCATCCAAGCGTAACTGCCCACTGCAAGAGAAAAAAAAAGGAACTATGCAAACGTTGCACAGTTTGTTACTGTGCAGGAGCTCTGACTCCATTCAGTCCTCAGTCCTCACCGCTGTCTTCTCAGTAGTACATGAGTAAACTACAGCCAGGCAGCATCACAGGAGTGGGATGAGCGGAGTTAGTGACAGATAAGTTCATAACGACGTTGTGACATTAACAATGACTCTACATGTCTCCTGTTTCACGTTAACTCTCTTTGCCATGTGTCAGGACGACTGAGGCGTGACTCATTGTGTCGATCATGCTTTTCATTTAAGTTGCATTGCTAAAGTCGTGCTAACCTAGCTTAAGGTACTCCCTGTCTGTTTATGTTAGCAATAGCATCACTGTAGTTATGTCAACCTAGTATAGTGTTAGCCAACATCCTAAAAGCCAGTAAGTAACTGCAGAAATAAGTGTAGAAAATATTTGAGAGTACAGAACGAACGCTCACTCCGTCAGCTTGTTATTGATAATATCAATGTTAATTCCGATGCTAAAGCTATGTTCTGATTATCCATGAATCTAATAGTGTCGATAAATGAATCAGAACTTGCTGGAAATCACAATATGGTTGAAATGAGCTGCTTGGCGGAGGTCTGCCCCCTCAGAGGGCTCTTCTAGTTCACCATGTTTTACAAACTCCCCCCATTTATGAACAGCACACAAGCTCAAATTTGGCTGCATAATACTTCTTTCATTTATTTGAAAAAAGTTTATTCATTTTTTATATTTATCACTGAGCTTGGTTGTTTGAAGCAGTGTCTTCCTTTTTTAGCCTGGAAAAGTAATTCAGTTATATTTACAGCAGCCCAATAAGCTGGAATTGTTAATGCTGCACTTGTACTTTTATTTATTTTATTTTGTTTATTTGATACTGAGAACTATGCAACCTTACCGAACTGAATCTTGACTTCCATACCGAGGTCCGTACCGAACTGTGATTTTTGTGTACTGTTACACCCCTACTCTTAACTGAATAAATGTTTTTGATAATTTCATTGAAATTTCTCCCTCGGTTCAAGTAGTACAATCAACAATCAGCTGCTCCTAATTGACCAATGGATGTTATCAAAACATCCTGATTTTTACTGTCTGCATCTACAGTAATCCATGTACTGGCAATAAAGGCCTGACTCCCTAATACTGAAAAGAATGAAAATACATATTATTTTTCCTTCTTTCCAGGCTTTGGAGATAAAACCAACAAACTTCAGCACAATAACATATAAGCTTTTGATTCTAATCTGCTGCAGAGTGACAACTGTCCAAACACTGGATAATCTGGTGTGTTCTGTATATATGTATGTGTTTACCTCCTGAAGACGGTCAGAGCTCGGCGATCTGCAAACATTGCTGTTGTGGGTGGGCTTTAGTGTGAGGTCGTCCATACTGGTGATGAGGTGAGGCACTGCCCTATCCTCCAGCTTGGCCTTCTGGGAATGCTGGCTGTCGCCCAGCAACCACAGTGCAGCCTGCTTGCTGGTAATGCAAAAAACACACACATATATTTTAACAGTTTAATCACTGCTCTCTGTTAAAAGCTTACAGGATTAAAGCAAATACAGTTTGTGTTCCACACACACAGATGAGCCATTACAGATATGACAAGAGCCTACGTAGTAATGACAATGAATTAAAAATATAAAACTTAAGGTACTCACTTTATTGTTATTATTGTTATAATAATAATAATAATAATAATAATAACAATAACAATGATAATAATAATAATAAAAGTACTGCATATATACCAAGACATATGCACAGAGACTGCACTCCTTTCTGTAACAGAATCACTGCGTTCTGCTACAGCTGCTGGACAGTCAGCTTTATTGCTGCTAGATCTCAAGAGTATCCTGGAGGGTAGAAGTGTCCGAACCACACAACCTATCCACAGGGGTTCCTCAAGGGTCGGTGCTTGGTCCCCTTCTCTTCTCAATTTACACAACCTCACTCGGTGCAATAATCCAGGCCTATGGTTTCTCATACCATTGCTATGCTGATGATACCCAGCTCTTCCTGTCTTTCCCCCTGAACGACCACACAGTCTCTGCCCGGATCTCATCATGCCTTGCAGACATCTCGGCATGGATGAAAAATGCCACCTTCAACTCAGCCTCTCTAAGACTGAGCTCCTTGTCATCCCAGCCAGTCCCTCTCTACAACAATAAATCAACATTGAGCTTGATTCAACCCAACTCAAACCCACAAAATCTGCCAGAAACTAGGGTGGCATGATTGATGACCAACTAACCTTCAAGGTTCATGTGGCCTCTGTCGCTTGGTCGTGTCGATTCGCCCTGTACAACATCAGGAAGACCAGACCTTTCCTGTCTGAACATGCGGCACAACTCCTGGTACAGGCTCTCATAATATCACGCACTGACTACTGCAACTCCTTACTGGCAGGCCTCCCCCCATCCATGGTCAAACCTCTGGAGATGATCCAGAATGCAGCAGCACGTCTGGTTTTCAACCAGCCAAAAACAGCATGTCACCCTGCTGTTTAGAGCGCTTCAATGGCTTCCAGTTGCTGCCCGCATCAAATTCAAAACCCTGACACTTGCTTACAAAACCACAACAAGAACAGCTCCCTCCTACCTGAACTCTCTCATTCAGATCTACACTCCCGCCCACTTACTATGCTCGACCAATAAAAACCGCCTGCTACAACCACTGCAACAGGGCCTGAGGTCGATAGCTGGACTCTGCTCCTCTGTGGTTCTGCGCTGGTGGAACGAGTTACCAAACTCTGTCCAATCTGCTAACTCTCTCTCAGTCTTTAAGAAAAGACGAAAAACCCAGGTCTTCAATTAATAACCTTTGCACTTGACAGCCCGCAAACCAACAAACAAATAAACAAACAAACAAAAAATCATATTACATCCCACACAGCCTGCTGTTGGCATCAATGCCCTATCACACTTGAATTTGTTCTATGGCACTTATCTAGATTGTTTTCTCCTGACTAGATCCTTGCTTGTGTTGTATCTGCTCTCAGATGTTCACAGTGTGGGATTAGGAAAAAAACACCTCAGCACACAAGCAACGTAGTAAAACATCACAACAAAACTCAAGACTTGCGCGTGTGGGAGGGGGGAGGGTGTTGGGGTGGAGGTGTCACAGCTCAGACACTGGGGGGAGCGCGCAGCCACGAGGCATGTCGCGTCAGCCCGCAGCATACTGCACCGTAACAAGGGAGGGAGAGGGGGTGGGGAGCCAACCAAGGCGTTGAGTCCAGGGGGGTGTGAGTGTTGTGTGTGTCTTCGTGTATGTGTATGTGTAAGTCCATGGACTTCATCACTGCCCAGACTCAACAGTGCCTCTGACGTCTGATGCAGGTGACGAGACACAGCCGTTGTCGTGGAGATGACCTCAAAGAGTTCTGATCCAGAAGCAAAGTTTACAGGAGAAGGAATAGGGTAGGGGAGGGGATGAGCATCTGTCCGCATGACATCCAGGAGAAGTGCAGAGGTATCAGCCTTCCAAGGCCAAGGCTGAAGCAGGGGAGCCGAATGAAGATAAAGAAAGATGGTTTGGGTCAGGCCAACTTGCAATTTACCGTCAGTCCTTAGAGTCCCACTGGTTCTCTCTGTGATCCAAAAAAGCCGAATTTGATGGCCCATTACATCTGGATCGGACTGTTCTACAGCTCCAAGTTGGTGCCCATCTTGCGAATCAGTTCTGGAACCCCTTCCAGTTTGCGATTTAGTTCGCATATCGCTTGAGTCTGAGAGTTGACAGCCCAAAGCAATCCCTCCACGACGGGCAGCTTGTCAAATGCCGAAACCGCTGCCTCCGTCTTCCAAACTTTGCGATAAAGCAGGAACCTGCAAACGCCAAACAGCAGGAAGCCTGTTATCATGATCCCAATTAAGTAGACGGCTTCAAAATCCTCCACAGAAAGTATAGAGAGGCACACGACCCTCCACTCCTGCCAGGAGTCCATCGTGTATCCCGCTGCAAACTTTCCGTCAGGGCAGGCGGGCTCTCCTTTGTCCAGTCTTCTCATCGAGAAAATTTGATCAATTGCGTTGCGAGACCAGCTGATCAAATCCATGATTCAGGTTTTGAAGTTTTGGAGTGAAATGCAGAAAGAGGCTCTAATAGATTCAGACTAAGACAGCACAGGACAAAGAGTAGCAAGCAGGGCAAATAAGGGCCAGGAGGGAGCAAGAGAAAAAGCGTTCGCCTTCGTGGAGAGCAGGAAGAGCTTACTTCAGACAATTTGTTTGAGATTTTTTTTTTCATTGTCATATTGTCTAAATATTGTCTGTGTCCATGTTTACAGAGCTGATCAGAGGTTCTCCTGTCCCCCATATGCCTTCTGGTGAACTGTAGTCTAGATTTAATGCACCTTTTTCAGGTGTCTTTCGCTTTGCCTCTCTCCCATAAAGCTTTGACTAGTGAAGAACAGGCAATAATTGCTGTATACACCCTATCTCATATTTTAGCCGCTGAAGCTTGTAACTCCCACAGGAGTCTTAGGTGTCTTGGTGGCCCCCCTCACTAGTCTCTTTCATGCATGGTCACTCAGTTTTTAAGGACAGCTTGTTCTAGGCAGATTTAAGCATTTACCATAGTCCTTCCAATGACATAATGATGGATTTAACTGGACAAGGAATATTCAGTGACTTGGACATCCTGTATCCACCCCCTGACTGATGCTTTTCAATAACCTTTTCACAGAATAAAACCAGGATGATAAGAGTCATGGAGGAATGAAGAATTTCTGACTGAATCACTGACAGTCTTTGATTAAACTGATAGCAGTGAGAATAACTGTAAAACCCACTGACAGTAAAACACAAACTGCCTTTAAACTCATCAGCAAAACAGACTCTGGAAACTGTGAAACGGACTGACGTACAATGACATGACAAGAAACATGGCGCTGGTGACGAGGCGCTGCTTGGCAGGTTCTACAGATCTACAGCTTTTCCCACACAGAACAGTCCATACATCTTATGTTAAAAAGTACAGTGTTTTTAACTTAATTAGCTTTTTTAAACCTGACAATAATGACAACATTTGGGCTGATCTTAGCAGAATGATCCGAGGCAAGTTTCTTTGTTAACTTGGCTTTACTAACCAGCCACTCATTCAGCATACAGCTCATAATAATAATAATAATAATAATAATAATAATAATAATAATAATAACAATAATTGATCAGATTTACAGAGCGCTTTTCTTACTCAAGGAGTAACTCAAAGCGCATACAATCAACTGTCAATTATTCATTCACACACATTTATTCTGCCCTGGGGCAGACTGACAGAGGCGTGGCTGCCATTCTGCGCCTACCGCCCCTCCGACCGCCACCTCAAACAATCCATTCATACGGATTCACACCAGGCAATGTGGGTGAAGTGTCTTGCCCAAGGACACAACAACCATGACACAGGTTACAGGGCGGAATCGAACCGCCGACCTTCCGATCATTGACCGACCCGCTCTACCACCTGAGTTGCCCACACAACACCCAGCTTCTCACGCTGCTACCAGGTATATCGCTGAGTCCGCACTGCTGTAAAGCACATTGTAACACTGCTGTAACACATTCGACTTCGCAACCTGCTTTCTACATATGTGCATATGTGACAATCTCGATGTTGTGCGTTTCACTGCACTGCTACTGCTCATTGTGGTCCTACATGTGAGTGTCTGCTTGTTCAAAGCAATCAATGCTGATTACCAGTGGCAAGCCAGTCAGTGGGATCACCATATGCTCTGGGAGGATAAAAACTATCAAGATGTTGCACTATTAAAATACTCGCTAAATGTACACACAGAGAGTTTCAATCACAATCTGGATATTACACAGTCCTTTAATCAGTTCTACACCACGGACGGGCCGCAGCCAGAAAACAGACCAACGATCAGTGGCGCACGCCAGCTCCTTTTTGGAAAATACCTGGGTTTCTGCTGATTTTGCTCCTGCTCTCCAGAGATGTGCCTCTCAATCTGGGTCTGGGAATGCTGCGGGACTCCAGTGCTGAGCTCTCTCTGAATAGGCCTAAGATGATCACTCACTTTCTCTTCCCGAGATCTCTGCTATAGGACGTAACTTGATAAACTCCACAGTGATCATGAATAACATACCACCACTACTCTCCAAGAGAGCTGTCGGAACAGCTGACTGTCACATTAAATCTTCTGCAAGCGTTACCGTGTGTCGGAACCCCGCAGTGAGAAAGCAGAGGCTGACTAAAACTTTTCAAACTGTCAATCATGCGAAGGTCCTCTGGGACCCTAAATTGAAGTTGCGAGGAGTATTTGGTGGACATTTAAACATTAGAAGCATTCATTCATTGTTGCAAAGAGTGATCAATTAATTCATTTGTTGTCGGATTCAAATCTGGACTTTGTGTATCTCTGAGACATGGTTACAACCATCCACTGCTGCTTGTGTGTTTATGGTACCAGGTTATCAGTGTTTTAGACAGGACCGATCCATGGGGAGGGGAGGAGGGGT